GAGGTGAAAATGATACAGAAATGTTGTAAATCATTTCATCTAACTTTAATTCAACAATTTATGAATACTCCTTTTTCATGCAATATGCATTATAGAAACATCAGTGCACTAAAACTATGACCATTCTGTGAAAAGCAGAGTTTCACTTGGTGGAAAGTGTCACAGATTCAAGCTGTATTATTTTCAGCCATGAGGTTTTTATGCCACATTATCCAAAATTAATTTGTCATGTTACTCACTGAAAAGAGAAAACAGCATGTTGATAATGATTAATGTTTGAAATTAATGTTGGGGTACCTCAGAGTTCCACACTGGGTTTGTAATTAGTTTAATGGAGTTAACTATTTATGTGCAAAAAAACAAGTGGCAGATTGAAAACTCAAACAGGAAGGACACATTTGTTTAGTTTTTAATTTTAGATAGCTTTGTAGAACATATTTAAAATTGCAAAGGTTTATCAACACACAACCAGTTGACACATTATAAAGTCTTAAGGAATTGAATATAGCTTAGAAAATATGTCAACGCCACTGCTGTTTTCCCTGGCAACGTTCTGGTTCAAGTTTCCTGCAGTTTATAAAACATCAAAAGTCACCAGTTGTTTTATATAGAAATGTTTTATATTGGACAGTGGACTTCAAAAGATTTCAGTCAAGACAGTTAAGGGACGGGTGGAGACACTACTTGTCATCCTTTTGTCATATTTCCCTCAATATGTACAATAAATAACACTGAAAAAATCTATTGTTTTCTGACAACACAATAAGTAATACAGATAGCATTTAACTGTCAATACTTGTCCCATAATTATGAAGTTGGATACTGCTGCTTAGTTAAGTCAGAATGCATGAAAAAAGCTGTGATGCTGTATAGCAATAAGAACCAAAAAGCAAGAGAACGTAAGCGACCGGCTGCAAAGAAAACAGAGTGCTTGAGTTCAGTGAACTAAAGCCGCAAAACATAGTCTAAACAGAGGCAGCAGCAGGGACATAACAAATGACAACACAGGAAACATAAATGGGCCTGACAGATAGCAAACTAGGAATGAATATAGAGAAGAAAAAGAAGATATGGAAGGCACAGAATGAACTGGGAGGAATAATGAACATGGACACTGATAGTTGGGACAAGCGGGTTTTAGAGGATCGATGGCAATAAATGGACCAAGAAAGAATAGATGATTAAACCAAAATAGCAACTACAACACAAATGAGGACCCAATGCAAGACATGGAGTACTGAACGTACACGACAAAACCACACAATGAACACAAGTTCCTTCTTCTGTTGAAGCATAAAAAGGCCAAAGCCAAATACCATTCCAACTGGGGATACAGTTCAGGTTGATTGCCATCCTGTGAACTCAAGGTCACAAGATCTGATTAGAAAGCTTGGGAGGATCTACCATCAGGGCCTGAAGGATGGCACAGAGACAGCAATACTCAACAAAAGGGAGAGATGCTGAGGTTGCAATTGGGCCAAATGGGTCATTTTGAACCCTCTAATGAAACACAGCGGACTGGACAGGTGACCAAGCCTCAATCCTCTCTTTGATTTAAACAGGTATTCGACTCCATCTGTGAGCTGAAAAGACAGATTATCCTATATCCCCAAACACTACAGTAGTTGTCACAGAAGGAGCCAATCCTCTATCCCCTTGGAGAGCACATGGCCTTAAAGAGACAGCACACATGTAAGAAGTTCAAACAGGAGCAATTAGTACAAGTGATAAGTGGAAGACAGACAGATTTACAGGTCGGCTTATTATTATTTTATGCATCCAGATTTATATTTAAGGTTTCAATAGTCTTCTTTCAATTTATCTTTCATCTGTGCTCAGGCTGTCTAGCAGTTTTCCATCGTCTCATCCCTCTGCCTGTGCTCTCCCTCAGCTGCTTCTACTTTCTTCTGATTAGCTCCACTGGTTTCCTTCATTACTTCCACCTCCCTCACTATTCAAACTCTCTGGTTTACTTTTTTCCCCAAATGGTTCCTTCTGTAACAACTTCTGTAATTCGTTGTCATTTCCTCATTTTTATCTTGCAGTGGTTCGACATTAATCAATAAGTTATTCATTTATTATTTACCAAACATTTCACCATGAACTTCCCAAATTCTTGTCTGAATTTTGGTCCAATTTTCCATACACGACAGCAAATCAACTTCAAAAAAATCATACAATTTGATTTAAAGGATTAAAAAAAAAAGATTTTGTCTCTCGCAGTTGAAGAGTACCAGAAATAAAAACTACAAACCACTTCATTCTTTGGGAGTGAGGAAACATAAAAAATTGAGAGTGTGTTAAATGTTTATTTATCCCACTGTTTCAAATAACTCACTACTGAGATGCCATATCTGAACCTATAAATAAAAGCTAAAATAAAACAGTTTTTGCTGCACTTGCTTCCCCTTATAGAAACTATATTTTACTGAAAGCTCAGTCTTGCTCACTTTTTCAAGTTGCAAACCCAGTGACCTATTCTAAAGATCGGTTCAAATAAACTGTGTATGACCCCAAAATGCAATCTTTTTCACTTGTCTGCACAACGGCGTGATTGAAACTGGTGCAGGCTGAAAAAGGGAGCAAGTGGGGCAAGAAAAACACAGTTTATTTCACAGTAGTACATCAATGGCAGTATAACGGTCCTGAGACCATTATGTACTGATTCTTACTGCAGCAGTCAAATGTGACTATTGCTCTTCAGGACGAGTAAATTGTCTGCCTGTGAAATTGATTGCATTCAGCAACACAAACTGCTGTAATTGCTGTGGGAGGTTACATTAGACCTGTGATCACAAGAACAAAAAGCCCCTTTGGATTTTGACCTTTACTGTCTCCACTGTTTCTTTCTGATTTGACACAGAAATGTGTTACATTATATTACATGGCCACACAGTAGCCTGAGCAGCAGGGAAGAGTCTGCTCAAATCTCAACGCTTGGTGCTGTTGAAGCACCAAATGGTGAAAAAAAGTAATTTTCTAATCTGTAAAATGGCTTCATTTAATTAGCTGTTTCAGTGAAGTGTAGTTCAGTTTCAGAATTAACATTTACACTGTGCCAATTTCAAGAATGTGCTCTTCTGCTTTCTCTCATTAGAATATAAGTAAAGACACCAAATGTTAAATTATTCACCACACACAGTTTTTTAAGTGCTGATTGTTAGTGCTATTTACAAGCTCACTTTTTCTAAACAAACCTTTTGAACTCTTTAATATTTTCCTGTCCAGGATAGGAAGCTGTCCGGGATTATAGGTGATAGATAATTTGCATGTTTGTGGAGCTGGAAAAAACTAAAAATGTTCAACATTTTTAATGAATACATATTTATAAAGTGTGGCAGGTGTGGTCAGTTTTTGTTAAAATAAATAAATAAAAACATTTGGGGTATGTCTGCACCATTTTTGTATAGCTGTAGAACAAAATTCTTACCCACTTAAGTAGCTTAGGATATGTTAGATGATCTTGCAATAGATTCTTATTTGGATTTACCTGTGACTTTGACTGCACCATTATAACCCATCTTTAATATGTTTTCTTCAAGTATAGACCAGTATTTAGCACCATTCATCTTCCAGCTCCCCTTTCTTTGCTAAAGAAAAGACTCCCATATCTCTATGTCACAGTGGCAGTGGTCTATTCATGATGCCATTTTAATTTTTCACTCCATGCTGCATTTTACCTGTTGTGTCAGAATTCAAATGGGACTTCTCATGGCCTTTTTTCAACTATTATTTCTTTTTTTATTATTTCTTTCATGAATGCAGATAACACATTGCTTGATGAGACGGTCCAAGCTTGGGATTTTATAACTTAACCCTGCTTTGAACTTCTCCTCTACTTCCTCTCTGACCTGTCGTCTGTGTTCCTCGGTGTTCATGATGCAGTTTGTTCACTAATGTTCTTTTACAAACCCCTGAGGCCTTCCGAGAACAGCTGGATTTAAACTGAAATAAAATGACACACAATTGGACTCTGAAAGCAACCGGTCATGCTCAATTTTACTAAGATGTATCAGAAAGATGGTGCCCGAGTAGCTTTTTATGCAAAATTTGCAGATCTTATTTGTTAAAAAAATAAATAAATACACAGCCAGTCTATAATTTCTCTTCTGCTATGAGCTCGTTCACTATTTACTGTTGGCAATCATATAAAATCCCAATAAAATGCATTTTGTGGCTTCAAGGGGACAGAAAATGAAAAATGTATGGGTTGTGAATAGTCTTAGAAGCTACTGCATAAAAATTCCTCTCCTGCAGTTTTGGGTATTGTTTTTTTTTTTTCTTTTTTCAGATAGACATTTTAATTATTTTATCTGAAGCAAAGGAATAAGCAGTGCTGCCTGCTATTTCTCTCCTTTGTGTGAAACTCCCCAGTGATTCCAGCTAAGTAAAATTCATGAAGATATTGATGGCAGTGCGCTGTGGTTGAGTTTGGGGAGGAAGAACACATATTGCCTGCTGTCGCAGCAACGGAGTCCAAAAAGCAAAAAAAAAAAAAAAAAAAGACCCACAGGATTAATGTTTTTTAAATGTTTCATTTGGGGGAAAAAAAGCATCCATGGTCAGCTTATGGTTCAGCTTGTTAATGTTACATGGCAGCTACCTCCCTGACCACTTGTATGTTTTCTGCATGTTTATGTTGAAAAAGAGGTGTCTGTACATGAGTGAAGGAAGCTGTGATGTTTCTGAATCGTTTAAAAGTGCAAAATTTCACCCACCAATAAAGAGATTGACTGACAGGCAACCAGCAGCTCTGTCCTCTTCCACAGTCAACTTAACCCTCCTTTTATCTCCTTTCATCCATCACATCTGTCTTCCTGTCAGTTTTATTATCTCTCTATCTCTCTCCTCCAACACCTCCACCTCCCACCTGCAATCTCCTCTCTTTCTCTCCCTCTCTGCCCTTTTCATCCCTCATTCCCTTGCTCCCTCCCTCCTCGTCTCTCGTCCTCCTCCTCCTGCTGTGCTGTCTCCTGTCGCTCCCATTCCCCTTCCAGCTCTCACACTCACGCAGCATCCTTCCCTCACCTCTTCTACCTTCACACTCACCTCCTCGAGCCTCCGTCTGCCTGCCGCCCTCCTCTCCATCACCTACTAACACACATTATTTCTCGCCTCTTCCTCGAGTCTCGTCTTTGCCTCCTCCTTCTACTCCTCCTCCTTCATCTCCCGCCGGTTTTCCCTCCTTCTCACAACATTCGGCACCCACTATTCACACACTCATCCTCATTGGCTCCCAAGGACAGAACAGCTTCTCGTCTGAACCGGCGATGGTTTGATCTTTTTGGCTAGACTTCTTGACACTGAGCTCAGCTGAGGAAGAGGACAAGGACAGAAAGAAGGCATGGAGCACAGCCACATCTTCCCTGTGTCCCACCACAATGGAAGCACCGGGGGATGCCCTCTCGGACCCCTGCCCGTTATCTACTACAGCGTCCTGCTCTGTCTCGGCCTGCCTGGTAAGAAAGTCTGCGTTGCTGCCTGCATCGCTGCTCTCTCCCAGAGTTACGCTTTGCATTTCGATTTGTTGTGCACTTGTTTGCAGGACCGAGTAAGACTGCTGTGCACCGCTGCACACACGCGCTGTTGATTTGTCACTCTGACCTTGTTGCTGTCACGCATGCATCTGCTTTATTTGTATTTGTTTCTACTTATGCCTGTCGTTCTTTCTCCCCCTGATGTAAAACATCACAATAAGCACAAAATTCCACCACTACTGTCTTTTTTTCCCTCAACGTCAGATGAGGCGTAAATACGTACGAGTAGCAGCTTAAGAAGTTGTGTGAGTAATCTTACTGGCTTGACCTCCAGGACAGGTGTGCACTGCATGGCTTTTTCTCCAGGGAGCCGATTTGATAGCACATCTGTCCTCACTGTTGAATGATTAGTCCATTCACCATCGCTGTCAGACTCATTTACTGCCTCTGTGCCACTGCGTGATCCATGAACAATGACCTGCTCTCACACAGGGAGGCAAAACGACGTCTGTGCATTTGTGAAACAGAGAGACAAGGACACAGACAGAAAAAATAATTGAGGTCAGACTAAAGATTATATTTGCTGATGTCTGAATGGAGGTCAGGGTTTAGACGTCAAAGCCCTTCCAATATACACATCCACTCTACTTAAAGACACCAATACATTAGAAATGTATAATTAAACAAAACTTGTTTCCTGAGCACTTACTGATATTTGCTTATCATGCTGCTTGGAGAAACTTAAACATATTTTATTGGGAATGTATGTGATCAACCAAGACAAACATTAGATCAAATTCAGTGCAATCAACTGTGTTGATGAAATGGAAAGATTATGGCAAAGCTAATCTGTCAAGACTAAATTAACAACAAAAAAGGTCTGTGGTGACTCTGGAGGAGCAACATAGATCTACAGCATAGCAGGGAGAATTTGACAACATGTCAACCATTGATTGTGCACTCTACACATCTGGCTATTATCGAAGAGGAGCAGGAAGGAAAACGTTGTTGAAGAAAAACCGTAAGAAGCCAAGGAGGACATGTGACCAAAGGGGCTCCACTCAGACCCAAATAAAACTTTTTGACCTACATGCAAAACCCTATGTGTGTCAGAAAACTTACCCAATTAATCAGAGACCACCCCCATATTTAAAACATGGTGGTGGGAGCATCTTGCTTTGTGGAGGCATTTTTTTAGCAGGGCCAGAGAGGCTGATTGGAGTTGATGGGAGGATGGATGTAGCAGGAGGGATATTACAAATGCATGCCACAGTTATTAACCAATTATTATAAATAATCAGCTTTTATTGGTCTTGCGCACAAAACCCCGGTGAAATTTATTGCAGTTTTTTGTTATAATATGAGACAAATTAAACATTTCAAGGAGTTTGCTTACTTCTGCAACGTACCCAGCATTTACAAATTTACTCAACAAGTTTTGATGTCTCTCTCAGCCCTCTGCTGCAGATTAGCAAATCTCCCTTAGATCCGATTGCTTTCCCTTGATAAAGATTGAAAATGAGATGCTATCACGAGCGTAAGCCGTTTCGGTCGGAAATAAATCTGCAATGCAAAGTCCAGCGCTTTTGTGAGCCAAGATTGCAGTTGCCCCAGAGATTTGCTGTCTTGTAAAAATAAGTCTTTCTTTCTGATCAAATCCTGCCTAATTATTTAAGTCAGCCGCCAGCAATTTGCCTCGCTGTCATTTCTTTTGATTCTGCTGCTGGGTTGCCTGTAGAAATGCAACCGAGGCTGTTTATTTAATCACCTAGTAAGAGTAACCAGGGGAGAGTGAGGGGGTACAACAACAAGGTGCCTGAATTGATGGCCAAGTTAAGTGCACCAAGCTGATATTATGCAGCAGTGACTTGTTCAGTCATTATGACACAGCTTATTCCAATCAAGCTGAATCATGAATGTTTCATGGGAGCAGCAGGAACGAGTAGCAGCCACATGACCTACAAACACACATGCAACGAAACCTCTTTATTGACAGGAAACTATGATTCAGGTTTTTCATCAGCTAACTGGGGTCCCTTATGCATCCAAACACTGACTCAACACTGCATGCTGCGGGGCAGGCAGGGGTCACATCGGAAGAGGAGATTTGAAGTACGAAGGCGATGAGAGAGGGATAATACATCTCAAGTCATGGAACAAAATAAATCAGTTCGACCTGAGGAAACTACAAAGTAGGAAATGTTGAAAATTAAAGGCCGGAAAGAAGGGAAGGAAAGGGCACAGAGGAGAAGAACATTGGTGTTAGAAGAGGGATAATAGGCTAATAGGCAGAGAGATCTAGCAGAAGTAGCACCTCAGAGAACTGAGAGCGGCTGAGATGACAGAGCTGAAACTAATTGCCACATTTTTAATTAATTGCTAACTTGAGCTTTCTGTTTGTGTCTCTACATGCCACACCATGCTACTGGAGACAGTGGAGATATGTACAGGCAGGGCAAACGGCGTAATGAAGTTGTCGTTAACATGATTGTAGATGTGAGGCCTGCGTCTTGGATTGTCTTAAAACGTTGGGTGCTAAAGTACGCTGTGTGCAGGAGGAAACCATTAGCTGATGAGCAACTCTACAGGACACGAAAAGAGTCTGTGCGCACATTTATTGTACAAAACCCAAATTTGCATCAAGTTTCTCTTTGAATAGCTTGTTACATCTTTTTACTTTGTCTGACTTCATTTGAAACACTGTAATGATAATTAATCCAGTCATGACATGCGATTATATACATCTGCCTTTATTCAAAATAGAGGCGATGATGTTCTAAAATTTTTCTTATAAAGCAATAAAGTTGTAATTTTATCTGTGCTGAGCTTGAAGCAAATAAGTACAGTACTGTGTTCTGTCTGTGTTAGAATGGACCCAGACCAGGTTCTAATACGAGTTTAGATGTTACTGATTAAGATTCAGGCTGTTTGTCTCCCTGCATTACAGGATGACAGATCAGAAAATAAATAAATATCCTCAACCCTAAGAGACTAGATTTGCTTGCTTGGCATAATAACCATAAATCAGACTTTCACTATGTCAAACTGACTGTAAAAATATTGTATTTTTTATTTTTAAGGAACCGGTCACTAATCAAGCAAAATGTAAGGTAGTAATGATGAACGGACAATGTTTCAGTGCAGGTCTGTATTCCATTCAATAACTTAAGTCTTAAATTTGACTGTTAGGCTATTACATAAAATATCTTTTTGTAAAACTGACAGTGTTGATGTACATAGTCATTCAATGTGTAATTTGGGGAGCAAGCATAAAACTGATATTAGGTAAAATATTTTCTGGAAGAGTGCGGGTAAGAGTCGCAAAAGGGTCAAGAGAAAGAGGTTTTAAAGGTGCACGGTCACTCTGGTGAGGAGGGAGATCATTTCAGTGACACGTGGGTGCTTTGCCTGCTTAACCCCCACTTCTCTTTAAATAAAAAGGTTAAATGACTTGAGAAAATAGAGCCGCATGTAGGAGGAGTGGAGGTGTTAAATCTGGAGGAGCGACAGACTAATATAAAAAAGGAAATCGGTTTCTGAAAGATGTGCTCTGTCCTTTTAAATCTGAGTTCTTTCATTTCTTTTAAATTACGCTCTTTAAGCTCATTATTCTGTTTCTAGTGCAGCCTAATGATTTCACTCCTTTAAACAAGTCTGATGTCACTGAAACATTCAGGCAATCAAATTGTGTCTCTCCTTTTCTTCTTCCATGCAGTCATGCCACCTACATGTCCGATTTGTTTCTTTTTACAGCTGCAAGTGTCCCCAATTTAAAGAATCGGGCTGTGAAATATAGATAAAACAACCAGCTCTGCCAAAGTGAACGTTTCTCTAACTAATTGCACAAAAAGTGATCCGATCCTGCACAGTTGTCACGGCTTGGTGACTCCTCCACAGGGTGACAGGTGTCTGAGCAATCTGGACAACATCTCCTCCCACGCCCACTTATCCACCCGTTCAAGGGGAAAAGGTCGGGAGTCGTCAGCGCCAACAACCGCTTCTTCTTCCGCGCCGCGGTGCGGGCCAAGTGTCAGCCGTTACTTAATGAAGAGATGGGCTCCATCGATTTTCAGTTTGAACTATCGATCCATCAATCTGCACCCGTGACGGGGCATCTGGAGCGGGATGGTGTCTTGTTAATAGATGCTATTACTCTCGAAGCAGGGTTTGAAATTGGTTGAGATAGTCGAGATAAAAAGGGGGAGCAATAACAGATTGAGCATTGCAAATGAATAAATTAGGTAGGCTGAGATTGGAAACAGTGGTTTGGAAAAATATAGGACTGCAAGGAGAGGGTGGAGAGCCGGCGAGGGGGGAAAAAAAACATCGAGGGAGGTGTTTGAGTCAATAAATCAGAGATCTGCTGTGACAGAGCCGACTTTGTTTGGCCAGCTGACAGAAAACTCTGTCACAGCTGCTGGAAACGCACCAAGCTAAACCTCTGTATTTGTTTGTTGGTTTTCACAGCAGTAGCAATGTGAGGATGATAACAGAGATCTGGAGCTTAGTTTAGTAAGTCATTCGCTTTCCTCTTTTCAGTCAATCTCTATTTAATTCTGACTTTTCCTCAACTCTGCTTCATCTGCATTGCTTCACCTGTAATTATTTTTTTGTTTAGATTAAATTATTGAAAAATTTTACTTTTCACGGTTATCAAATATACAGTTTGAACACTACTAATAGTGTTGGTTCTTATTTTATCTTTTGAGTTACAGTATTGTACAAAAGCCTCACATCAATACTTGTTTTAGATTTATGTTCTTTTTTATTTTCATTTCTTCTGGTTTAACTCTTTTATTCCTTGTTGGAGTATTAATATCACATCCCATTTTATTATTTAGAACTTGTTTCTTTAGTGACATTTCTCTAAATGTCTCTGAATTATCTGTATTTCTCTCCAGCCACTGTCTCATCTGACTGTCGTTTGCAGTTTTTGCACCGCCTTGATTTGTTGATTCAGCATTGGATCATTCCTTAATGTC